CAGTTCTGGAAATCTTCTTTTGTGAGTGTCTTTACAAGGTGTGATCAAAAATATAATTAATGCTACTGCCAAGTACCTTCCAATGGAAAATCAAGTTTGTGAAAACATCATGTGTCCTGATTTCCTTATTCACTAAATATAGTGTGTCTTTATCTAACTTATCCACCAGACCTGCTACTGCGCAAGTTCTGGCTTTTCCCCAAGTCAAAAAAATGTCATAAAAACCATAGAAGATAAACATTTTGAATCAATTGAGAACATGGAGGCAACCATGCAACTAAAGATACTCACAAAACAGTAAAACTTTTTTAAAAATTTAAATACTGTATTTTTATCACATCTCATATATAAAATACTTAATTATCTAATTATGTAATATTTATTAGGTTCTTACCATGTGCCAGGCTCTAAATCTTTCACAACAATCCTAAAAAGTAAGAACTGTTATTATTTGCATTTTACAAATGAGGAACTTGAGGCCTAAAGAGCTAAATTTTACATGGCAAGTAGCACAATGATATTTTTAAAGAATCATATACACTTATGTGTACATACATGTATATGTATATGTTAATGTAGAGTTATATTCAGAATTATATGTATATACTGTATTTAAGTATATTAATTGAGCTAATTTTAAAAACAGTTTTCAACCATCTTTGTCCTCGATTTTACATAAATCAAGTGTCATAATTAGCCTTTGATTTCCTGTTTTTGTTTTCAGACGAAGGAGGAAGTAAGAAAAGGAATCAGCACCCACAGATGAAACCCAGCACATCTCCATAGTTAAAGTTTGCCTCAGCTAGTTCCATTTTTACAGAGGAAGAGTGAAATCAGACCATTATTTTGCTTCCTATTTTATTAACATAACAAATCAGGCTTTAAAAAGTTATTCTAAGAATTACTATTGTTTTAAAGTAGTAATATGTTAGTTGCCACAAAGTTCCTCTGTCTTGTCTTCACCCTAGCATATATGATCTTTTTCAATGAAAATTTTAAATTGAAAACCTTTTGTACTAAATGTACATACAACAAGGGCTGGGGATTTAGCTCAGTGGTTCCTCCACCTGCCTCACAAGTGCAAGGTCCTGAGTTTGATCCCCAGTACAAAAAAAAATAAAAAATAAAAAATAAAAATAAATGTACATACAACGAAATGGAAGAGCTAATACACGTGTCTTGTGATATTGACTGTGGAATGAAAATGGGAGCCTGAGATTTGCACTGTGGCTCTGCCTTTGCTATTAAATAGGACTAAATCTTTGAAGTGAAAATTCACCAGTTGTTGAGCTTCAGTTTTCCTTACTATAAAGTTAGGAGATTGAAACATATAGTTAGATTAACATTAATATACTGTCTACATTAATTTATAGGTTGTTATTTTAATCATTAGACAATGCCCCATGGCTCAAAATCAAATCCTTAACATTTCTTTCTATTTTAAAACTGTGATGCTTAATGATAACAAGTAAGTTGCAGTTCATTTTCCTATCACTTTTGTTCAACAAGCATATTCATCACCACCTTTTACAAAAACCTTGCTACAGAGTAATGTGACATAGACTGCTGTGAACTATTTTGCGTATGGTAATGAACTCCTTGAATTACCACCTTTGCACTTAAAATGAGACACCTCCTACCTTATAATGGCCATATGCGCAAATATCCACGAACAGAGAAATCAGCAGAAATGTCAAGAAAAGGTCTGGCGTATAAAAACAAAGCAAATAATCAGATAAAAGGCATGTAAAATCAGGCCATTTATTCCTGAAATCTCGGACAGTCATCTAATTTGAATGGATAAGTTTATACACTGTCTTGTTCACTAAATCAGCAAAATGCTGAGGGCTTCACGTTTTATTTTTAAAAATAGATGTCCTTTTCGGTTTTCCTGTTGCTGGGGAAGTGTTCTTTCTGTTGCTAACAGAGAGCTAAATGTTCTGCTTTGAATGGGGCTTGTTTTTATTGGCAGGAGTGGCAGAAGGATGAATGAAGGAATCCATTTTTTATGTGTTTCTATAAGGGAGATGTCTGCCTTCTGGACAGAGGTGTATGTTGGCTATTTACCAGAGAATCCTTTAATAGAATTATAGAATTTACTCATTTGTTTACACATTATTTTATTCATTTAACCTTAAGTGGACTAAGTACTCAAATTTTAAGATCACAGGGCTGTGGAATTCATATCAGAAACATTTACTGTCACTCAGAATCTAGTGGTTGGGAGGCTCAAAGAAGATACTTATATTCTTTAAATTTTTACCTGATGTAATTTGGCCTTAAAAGAGGGGAAAAGAAATAATGAACTCTGGCTTTCCCTTCAAATCTTATGATCATTAAAATATAAGCCATCTTATTCATTATCTTTCTATTATTGTAATATTATTTTCTCTATGGCAGGAAATTTATGAGGAAATATCATAAACAACATATTAACAAAATATTACTTTGATATGCACTGTATTTAAAACTGTATGAAGGGCTGGGGATTTAGCTCAGTGGTTCTGGTGCCTGCCTCGCAAGTACAAAGTCCCAAGTTCAATTCCAGGTACCAAAAAAAAAAAAAAAA